AGTTTTTTAATGATACACGTATCTGATATACTAAAATACTAAAACTGAAGTATCTGTCTTGCTCATTTTTGTCTGAAATTGAAGATATTAAGGACTTATACTCTGAACAGTCTTCAATTTGTGTGCTCTTGAGAGAGGCATCAGCATGGAAGCTACACAACTAATGAAGTGTCATTCTGAATTTCCAGTTTGAGTTGACTACAAGGTCAGAAGCCACTGTAAGGAAAAATATTATTTTTACAGAATAGCTAATTATATAAATTCTGACTGATGATTTATGTCTAGATCTCAGGAGGTTTACTGAAAAATCTATAAGAATACCCTTTGACAAGTCAGCCAGCAAGTCAATAGTGATTAAATGTATTCTACTTGACACCATTTCAGGCAAAATTTTGGTGTCAAAGGTTGACTACTTCTTGTAACACTTTGCATTTCTTTAAATAATGTCTGTTCCTCCAAATACTTTTTGCCTTTCAGGCTATAGACTTTCTCTCCAGAGATGTTTGAATATAAAAAAGAAATAGAACTTCTCAGTCATCCAGACTGTTCAGAATGTAAGAAGGCTTATTTTTCCCTTCAGAAGTGAATGGTACCTCGTTAAACATGCATTCCTTAAAATGTAACAGCTTTATTGAGAAGAAATCCCTGATAATGAAATACGACTTATTCAGCTGAAAAGAAAACCAAACCAAACCAAACCAGCCATATTTTAAATGTCATCTTTCATTTCATTGACTGGATTCTCTTTTCTAGCTTTATTTTTAATATGTATATCTTTCTGTGTGCATACATTCTACATCCACATCTACCTAGCAATTTACATTTGTGATAAAATTGCACTCTTGTAAAATAAAGCAAAATAAAAACCACTTCTGTGAAATAGACAGCATTCAGCTTAGGATGTAGGATGAAAAGAAACCAATAATGATGTAACAGTGAATTTATTTTCAATACCACTTATTTATTCATGCTTTGTAGCTTGGGAATTTGCAAAGCCCCTGTTAGTAAATAATTCATGGTTCTCATTAGAATTCTTTCTATATTTTTGTACTGTAGGCAAAAATATAATTTGCAAATCGCAAACAACAGATAAAGGTCAGGTTTACACCATGATACTACCTTCTTTTTTCCTTTTTTTCTTTTTTTTTTTTTTTCCAGTCTTGTGGTGCAAGTGTAACAAAGATAACACTGGCTATTCCAACAAAGAATATATTGTTGAGAGTTCTTTAATTATAGCCATACAAAATGCCAGTGTTATATAAGATATGTAATTTTGTGTAATTCAAGGTGTACAGAAAACCTATTTAAACCTATTACTTAAATCTATTTCCATTTCATGTAATACCATTTTCATAAACGAAAAAAAAATGTTCTGGTTGCTTTTCTTCTGATGCTAATAATATATAAGACTTCAGAAAAATATTAATACTAAGGATATGAAGGTAAGTAGAAAATGAAGCAAGAATCAATATGGGGATACTAAAGGCAGTTTAGAGCAATTATATCGACATAACGCTTTCTGTGTAATTAGATAATACTCTTCTAGCGAAATTTACCTAAAGTTCAAGAAAAAATATACTGTGCCACCAGAAACAAATTATATGTATATTGGAGAAATTTGGATTCATGCAGTGAACCTAAAAAATATTGAAAAAATTTAGCAGGCTTATCCCTGATTTCTTCCAAGACTAAAATTGCAATTGATCTGATTAGATACTTTCCTTAATGATCTCTCAAGTAATGAGTACATTGATAAAATGTATTTGACACTAAATTGTTAGAAATCAAAAGAAGAGTTGGGATGCCCATCCTGAAAGTACTGGATGCCAGAGTAACAAAAATAGGACTCATAGTGAAATGTGACCTCACTGCAATATCTGTCATAATTATAAAAGTAAATAAAAAAAAAAAAAAAAAAAAAGAACAAAACATATCTGTATGTAGAAAATGAACCGTTTTCAGTCCTCAGTATACTGGAAAAGACTTTAGCAAAACACTTCCTCGCTCTAAGGGGGAAAAAGTTAATAATAGTGCTGCTAATATATTCATTGAGAAAAAATTGAATGCAACTTATATTGCTACTGCTTGTATGTTTTGAACTAAAGCAATAGCTTTTTCTAAATGAATAAACAGATGCAATCAGTTTTATGAAAAGCCACTTCTTTCCTGCCTTGCTTAAAGATTTAAGTATAGCTTAAACAAATGTCATGGAAAACTGGCTTGTACTCTCATTTTGAATAATATATGATTTATTACCAACTGGTTTTGTGCGTGTGTTTTGTTTGTGTTTTGGGTTTTTTTTTTGTGAGCAGCAAGGCATTTCTTTATCTGGTGCACTATGCAAAAGGTGCCAATAGAATATTAAATTTGCTAGTGTGTTTTAAAATAGAGCTGAGAAACATTCATCCATGCAAAAACTCACAGGATTGACTACATTTAAAAGCTATCTGTATCCCTCAGAAATGACAGATTTTATTCTTTTTTTATTTTATTTTTGAGAAAAAGAATATAAACAGGCTTAAAAAAATGTCCCAAACTACCACATTTGGGCCCACTACATTTATTCTGGTGGAAATATTGTAAAAGGTACCAATACAAATGTGTCCACAAAGCCCAGTGGAAGCTGTGACATAGAAAATGTGTGTGGACAGAAATATGAGGAAAGACACACTCAGGACAGAGGCTTCATGCACATATTTTCTTGAAGACTCCAGCAACTCATCATCTATAAAGATGTCACAACCCAACCCTAGAAGAGAGACACATGGGGTTCATGCCTCCTCTGCCTTCGAATGTGGGTATGCAATATTCTGAAATCATGAAATAAAATAACATGCGGGCTTTTTAGAATCATAGAATCATTTAGGTTGGAAAAGACCTAGCACTGCCAAGTCCACCATTAAATCATGTCCCTAAGTGTCACATCTACCTGTCTTTTAAATACCTCCAGAGATGATGACTTAACCACTTCCCTGAGCAACCTCTTTCAGTGCTTAACAACCCTTTTCATGAAGAAATTTTTCCTGATATCCAATCTAAACCTCTCCTGGTGCAACTTGAAGCCATTTCCTCTTGTCCTATCACTTGTTACTTGGAAAAAAGTGATCAATACCCCACGTTGCTACAACCTCCTTTCAGGTAGTTGCAGAGAGCGATAAAGTCTCCCCTGAGCCTCCTTTTCTCCAGGCTAAACAATTCCAGTTCCCTCAGCCGTTCCTCATAAGACTTGTGCTCCAGACCCTTCACCAGCTTCGTTGCCCTTCTCTGGACACGCTCCAGCACCTTAATATCCTTCTTGTAGTGAGGGGCTCAAAACTGACCACAGTATTCGAGGTGCAGCCTCACCAGTGCTGAGTACAGAGGGACAATAACTCCCCTCTTCCTGCTGGCCACACTATTTGTGATACAACCCGGGATGCTATTGGCCGCCTTGGCCACCTGGGCACACTGCTGGCTCGTATTCAGCCAGCTGTCAATCAATACCCCCAGGTCCTGTTTTCACCAGGCAGCTTTCCAGCCACTCTTCCCCAGGCCCGTAGTTCTGCACAGGGCTGTTGTGGACCAAGTGCAGGATCCAGCACTCAGCCTTGTTGAACCTCATACAACAGACCTTGATCCATCGATTCAGCCTGTCCAGATCCCTCTGCAGAGTCTTCCTACCCTCAAGCAGATCAACATTCCTGCCCAACTTGGTGTCATCAACAAAATTACTGAGTGTGTACTTGATCCACTTGTCAAGATCATTGATAAAGATATTAAATAGGACTGCCTCCAAAACTGAGCCCTGGCGAACACCACTTCTGACTAGCTGCTAACTGGATTTAACTTCAATCACCACAACATTTCGGGCCTGGTTATCCAGCCAGTTTTTTACCCAGCAAAGAGTATGTGCCTTTCCATTTGAATGTGTATAAATGTGCAATATTTATTGAGAAATCCTTGGCAACAATTCATAAGTCTTTAGAATAGAACAAGCCACAAGGATAATAAATTAAGAGGGCTATTCAACCAATCATTCGGGGTAGCAACCACATGGCAGGAAAATAAAAATATAAAAAATATATAAAAATATTAAAAAAATATATAGCCACACACTGTTGCTACTTTACATAGTCCAAATTATTGATTTCTGACCAATGTCAACATATCCATAGGCTGCCAACAGAATTAATGAGGCAAAGCATACATGGAAAGGAAGATGAATGTCTTACTGCCAGAATAGGGACAATGACAAAAGTGGATGTTTGGATGAGAGGGGTGGAGGTTGTCTTACTACAGGAATTTTGCCTAAAGTGGATATTTTAAGTCAAATCGCAGCAGGAAATGGTTGAAAAAAAAAAGACTAGACCAGCAATGACTTTTGAGGATTCTTAGTCCATGATATTGCTTAAAAATAGCTAATGGAAGAAAATAACAATGCCTTGACTAAAACTTTTTCTCTTCATTATTTCCTGGCAAGTACTTAGTAAAAATGCTGTTCAGGCTGAATACTATATACCAATTCCATTATTTTTAAAAATCTTCAAATAACTCTGCATTAGGTAGTAGTTAAAACTCACAGTTCTATACTCTTCTGCATTTTGACCAAAAGACGGAAAGATAGAGAAAAAGCAGAAAGAATAAAACAGTAGGAAGGAGAAAGATGAAATGAAGGTTGAGTTTGTGTTTTCATCTTGATTAACCTGTACACTGGAGCTCTTTTCATTAGACCTCAAGAATCTTCACAGTATAGATGTCATACATGTTTTACTTTGGTAAGGTTTGTAACATTTTTTCAGATGACATTCTCATAAGCAATTGAGGAAACATTGCACCAATAAAACTGTTTATTGGTTTGCAGAAAAAATCATTAGATAACTGTATCCAGAGAAGATTTATCTTCAGTCAAATATAAAAATGGAATAATGTATTGAATATAGTTCTGCAGTCTATCCTGGTTCTACTACAGTTCAATTTTTACATTAATGATCATTTAAATAAAGTTGCATATGACATAAAACAACGAGTATGCTGGAAAACAATAATTCAAATTGATCTTGGCTAATTAGAGAAGTGATCTGAAAAGAGACGAAAAATTGAATTCATATGAATGTATGGTATAACATTTAGGAAAAATAAATTGCACAACTGCGAACTGGGGTACAGCTGGGTGCAACACATTACTTCAGCAGAGGATCTTGGATTATAGCAGACAAAAGAGGAATATGTATGAATAATGTTCTCATACAGCAACAAAAAGAAATCAAATGCTCTGCTGGAATGTATAGAGGTTTGAAAGATAAATGAATCTTTGCACTTTACTCATCTGAAATATGGGACCCAGTTTCAAACACTATGCCTCAAGAAAGATGAAGTGCTGTAACCCAAGTGAAGAGGATGTAGAAAAGAAGAGAAAGATCAGAGATCTAGAAAACATGACCTACAAAAGAAGAAAGGAAGAACTAAGTTAAAATACATAAGGGGTCATTGCAAAGAGGATAAGAATAATCTGCATAAAACAGTAAGTAACAGACTTTTAAATTTAGCAAGAAAGATTCATACGAGGCATTAGGAAAAGCTTTCAAGAACTGAGGTAGTGAAGCTGTAGCACAGACTGGAGAGGCTGTGATCTTGTCAAAGAAAAAGATAAAAATCTGTGAGTAAAGACACCGGTTTAGTGATGTTGCTGTAAGGAAGAAAGGAATTGGATGAACTTTCAAGATCCCATCCAGCTCCACATTTTTTATGAGTTTTAGACATATCAAGAGACACCAAAAACCATTAATAAAATGTAACGAATAAGAAAGCTTGACTGTAACTGAAAAACTTGAATGCATACAGAATTTTCAGATTACAGTTTAGCCATTTTAATCCACTTTTATACAAATACTGAAGTAAAACCAACGCATTTACAGTAGTGACAAAGAAACGGAATCAATTCCAATTTTATTTTATTGTATATAAATTTATACTACACTCAGTCAGTATGAATTTAATTTTCTTGGCAATTTGATTAACAAAAAAGTCTATAATAGTCCAAATACAATCATCATATTTGTTACAACCTATTTGGATACTTTTCAGAATTTTCATCTTTGACATTTCAGACTACAATGCTTTTTTTGTGCCATTAAATACTGTAAGGATAGTTGCTGTTAACCATATATTCTTGAAAAATCTCCTGAACTTTATCATGTCAGCGGAGCTACCCCTTCTTTACTATATCCGTTCACTAAAAATTCCAACTTCAGAGTTGAAAACAAAAGTGTTCGCAATGACGATTTATGTATTTTTCTAAAAATATATATTTTCGCACAAAACCTAGACTCGTTACTATATATTTGATCCTCACTTTTCAGTAAAATATAGGATGGCTTCAACAGACATTTGTCAATAATTTTAAATCGTATCCTTGACCACATGGTTGAGGACCAGATTTTATCAAAAGCTTGAGAGAACATAAATCCAACTTTACATCTTCTAAAAAGTCTAGATTCATGACTGATTACATGTTTAGAAGTGCATTTTCACAGCCAATGATTTTACTGTTCAACTATCCCACAATAAAAAGCAACAGGCCGTACTCTGTCTACTTCATGAAGCACTTCCTTGTCCCCAGGTCTGTTTCTCCTCTATGACAAAGCATAATGTTGATATAAAGCCTGAGTTCATGTCAACTTGCTGATATTCTGATTTCTGTGCAAAATAAGCCATGTAATACTCACCAGAATGGGTTCGTGTCCTCTAGCAGATCCCTAATCTGGGCGATCATGTTGATTGATATTTGTGAGACTCACTAAGAACTGCATCAGTTTCAAAAGAGAGGTACAGTAACCACTGACTGGCAGAATATAAAAGTATGTGTAGCAATATAAGAAAATATTCCCAGATTATTACCAGCTACCAATTGCAATATCCTTTTCTTAATTTAAAAAATGTGGATTTTTTTCATGTATAAAACCCTCCTTCATGTTGCAAGCTACTAAATCCTTATTCTAGTCCACAGGCATCTGTAGAGAAATTCCTTATACATTGACTTGTCCCTTGGCAGGATAACGCTCTTTCCACTACAAAAATCACTGACCTAAATCACATTAAAATCCTCCTCTTTTTTTTTTGTTAGGTATTTAAGCAAAAGAAACTGAACACTCTCCTCTCTTGCAGGCCTGTTTTGTTGTTGTTGCTTCTACCTTTTAAAGAAGCATTACAAAACTCGGTCTCAAAAAATTTTCACTTTACTGTACATCTGAATCTGAATGACTATTAACCTTGCCTGTGAAGTAGAAGGCATATTTACAATAAAAGGAATGAAGACATTAAGGAAAAGTAAGATGTCTCTTTTTAAGGTGGAAAAGATAATACCACCATCTCTATGTGTTATCATCCATGCTCTCTATCAAGTGCTTGCTTTCAAGATTTTGTAGTATTCCAGAAAGGGTATTAAGGATAATTTCTGTTTTAAACATAAAGAAAAGTGGGCACAAGGAAGTAAACTGACTTGTTTTAGATTACACAGCAAATTGAAGATCTGGGGTTAAAACTTAAACCAGCTGGCTAGAGTTATTGGGAAAAATAAAGCATCAAAAGTGTAAACTTAATAAAATATTTTCCATGGGTAAGGACTGATTTAAATTAATTTCCTGCTGGAATAGCCTGTCATTTTAATTTAAAATTATCCTGTGTCATAGAATCATAGAACAGCCCAGTTTGGAGGGCATCTTAAAAAATGATCTAGTCCAACCTTTCATGGGAAAGAGAGCCTAGATGAGACTATCTAGCATCCTGTCCAGTCCCATCTTGAAAACCTCCAGTCATGGGGATTCCTTTTTTTTTTTTTTAATCCTAATTCAGCAGAAGCAAAAATGTTAAGTCTCAAACTCTCACAAAATAGGAAAGTTATTTGTGGAATATTTGCAGCCAGGGCTACATACTCTTAAGACACCTAAACATGAATCCATGTTTTTTAGTTTAAAAAAAAAGGAACAAGCAAGGCTTTCATTTGAGGTTTCTTTTTGAAGTGGTCAGGTTATTTGATTGCACATACGCTTGCCACATTCCATGGGCTTGCTGCCCTGATGGTCTAAGAATATTGGTTAGATAAGGTTTGTAAAAAATGTTATCTCTTACAAAACTAATCAGTTTGGAAAAACTTGTTATATTCTTTGGGACACAAAAGTGCAAAAGCTTTTGCAATACAGTTTGCATATTACTGTTCTGTCACAGAAACACGTCAGTTAAGAGGAAGAAGTCAAGGGCATCAAACATTTCAGTCAAGAAAAATGACTTGTTTTCCCTTATCAATACTTCACATATCTCAGTGCTTCAATAGCTTTAGCTATACTAAGATAATGTCAAGTATAGCTGCATTCAAACTGCTTTATTGTGGTTCCTTTTAGTTAAGAAGGAATTTAGAAAATAAATGGTGGTTGCAACATAATTATTGATTTGGTAGCCACACACTTCTTCAGTCAAAACAAATGGTGTAAGTTGCTGACAGTTGTTCTACTAAGGATTTACAGTTGAAACATCCATGTAAGTCCCATCAGGTAAGCGAAGCTGCCCATAGTCAAAATGATTAAGTCCTAAAAGAGAAGTGTCACAAGTCTCCTGGATCAACTCAGAACAAGCACTGCAAAGATAAATGCTGTTAAGGAGGGTTGCTTAAAGTTGCAGCATTTTCTGTATCACGACTTGAAGAAGGATACCTCAGAAGATAAGTATGTTTTGTGCATCAAAAATAAGTAAAAACCTTGCCAGATCCTTCTCCTTGCATAAAAATGCTTGATTGGATATAAAAATCCATAAGCACTGTAATGCAGTCACTACTATATGAAGCAAAAAAAAAAAAACAAACAGAAAGGCTACTTTTAATAATTTACTTTTTAACAGTAAACAATCAACTATTTTGGAAAAAAAATCACATGAAATCTTAATCTTTAACACAGCATAGTCAAGGTGAAAACTTCATGCCCAAAAAACACAAAAAGAAGACATGGATGTTTAAAGTCGTAAAGGAGACATGGATGTTTAAAGTCATAACTATGTGATTGGACTTTTCATGCATATAAAATGAGACAGATACTATAACTGAGTGCATTAATAGCATATCAAGAAGAGTAAATTTCAACTGTGGATTCTCTTCATCATTCCTAGTTTTTCAAAACTTATCTGAAGCACATAAGTTTCTAGCATACCTTCTAGTTAGTAAATACATATTCCATATTATTGTCTTTGACTATTTAATGTTATTAGAATGTGGTCGATGTTATCCTGAAATAGAATGGACTTATATGCATGAATACGTTGAAGACAGACATTTAACTGCCCATAAGATGGGCCTAGGATTTTTAAACGTTTTGTTTATCATATTGGATTATTTTTAAGTATGTGAAAAATCCCTAGTATTCAGAAATGAGAGTTTATCCAAGTGAACAGGTGTAGTCTTGAGGTTGAGAGAGACTCATTTTTATCTCATGGAAGATTTGAATATTTTGCATTTCTAAATATGTCTTCATAACTCCTGTTGTGCATGTCTTCTAATTGTAAAACAAACTTTTAAAGCCATCTGAGTATGTATCATCATTTTTCAACAGTAATTAGGAGACAATGAAAATGCTTCATAGACCACCCAGAGTATTTAATTAAACTGTCAGTCAAGATATTTTTAAAGGTCCCTCTAGTGGAGGTAAAACATCATAGTTATGATCTGCTTTCTAAAGTCAAACCTTTGTAGAAGAGTAAAAGTAACTTACGTGGTCAATGGAAAGTCAATGCAATTTCTGACCATATGGGATCATAGAATCATAGAATCATAGAATGGTTAGGGCTGGAAGGGACCTTCAAAGGTCATCTAGTCCAACCCCTCTGCAAGGAACAGGGATATCTCCAAATAGATCAGGTTGCTCAGGGCCTTGTCCAACCTGGCCTTGAACGTCTCCAGGGATGGAGCATTCACCACCTCTCTGGGCAACCTGTTCCAGTGTTCTACAACTCTCATGGTAAAAAATTTTTTCCTAATATCCAACCTGAAT